CCGGAGCCCCCTGCCACATCCCACACCCTCCTGCACCCCAACTCCCTGTCCTGAGCCCCCTGCCACACCCTGCACCCCAACCCCCTGCTGCACCTCTCACCTCTCCTGCACCCCAACTCCCTGCCCTGAGCCCCCTGCCGCACCCTGCACCCGAACCCTCTGCCGCACCCCGCAGCCCTCCTGCACCCCACACCCCAATTCCCTGCCCTGAGCCCCCTGCTGCACACCTCCTGCAGCTCAACTCCCTGCCCTGAGCCCCCATCATACCCCGCACCCCAACCCCCTGTCTGGAGCCCCTGCCACATCCCACATCCTCCCACACCCCAACTCCCTGCTGCACCCCACACCCCAATTCCCTGCCCTGAGCCCCCACCATACCCTACACACCTCCTACACCTCAACTCCCTGCCCTGAGCCCCCATCACACCCCGCACCCCTCCTGCACCGCCTGGGGGCAGAGTTGGGGTGAGGACTTCAGGGAAGGGGTTGGAATGGGGGCAGGGTAGAGGTGGGGCAGGGGCGGGGCCTCATGGAAGGGGTGGAGTGGGGGCAGGGGCAGGGCCAGGGGCAGCAAGGGGTGGGTGTCAGTGATGCGGCCCTCGGGCCAATGCACTAGTCCTCATGCAGCCCTCATGGTCATTTGAGTTTGAAACTCCTGAGATAGAGGGACAAAGTTAGGCAGCACCCTATATCCAAACAGCTCTCAGCAGATCAGCTAGGATGATGTGGTTAATATATCAGAGCAGCTTCATTTGCTTTCTTTGTATCACAGAAGTTCACCAGATGACTACAGGGAGCGGAGTCCATGGGTCAGTTTGTATTCTGGCTTTATTGTGGAAGGGTACTGAACATGTGCTCTGAAGGTTAGACAGGCACAGTGTAAATCCAATGCCCCTTTCACTGTCTAATGCAGTAATAATATTTTACTGAGATCTAACTTTATTTGACATGTTTTGGGTTCAATACTCAGCTAGTGTAAATCACATGAAACTATACTAATTGACACTACGTGAGGGACCTTGCCCTATTATATAACTGAGGTGCTCATGCTGCCTATAGTTAAGGTGGCTTAAAACTTTCCATTATAAGACCTTGTTTTCATTTTGTTATAACTTGGCCAAACTTTAACCATTCAGGCTGGAATGTCGGGTGGTGTCTGCCTCAATATTTTTTAGAAAGGTTCAGCTAAAATGGCTCAAGAACAAGATTAGGGTAAAATGTTTCGCTAATATTAAAAAAAAAAAAAATCTTACAATTGTTTCATGGGGAAGCTTTAGCACGTCCATGTTTTGGAGGAAGGACTTGAAATTTGGCAGGAGGAGTTGCCCTGCTGTTAGGGATATGACTTTTGCCATCCCCTATGAAAATCTGACCAAATTTGGCCAAATTTTAAGCCTTTAAAAAAAAATTTGCAGTTCACACCTGCTTAGTAGAGACTTGTCAGTTAAATTTTCTGAAGATTCCATCTGCGCTAGGCATGATCCAGCCCAGGGCTGCAGGGGCCGATCAGGACTTTCTCTGCAGTTACGCCTCCTGGTTGCTGGGGTCCACTGTGTCACTGGGCACCAGAACGGAGAGCCAGGCCTCCTGTGTCCCAGGGCCACCCTACTTGAGCCCAGGGAGTGTGTAGAAGGCTTCATGGGCATAGACATGCAGAGGGGTGAGGGATGGGGGTAGAGAGGAGATGGGTTACAAGAGCCAGAGGTTGAACAAGGGAGGAGGTGAAGAAGCTAGGGATATAGAGGTGCAGAGGGGAGGTGGTCGGGTTGTGGGGTGGTTAGACGAGAGGGACTGAAGCTAGGGTGCAGCAGATAGCAGAGGAGGACACTGGGGGAGGCTGAAGAACACCAGACTGATAGCTTTTATTCTCGTCGCCTCCTTCAGCTGCTCCATATCAAGCAGCAGGACAAGATCAGAAATGAGGCTATTTGAAGCCAAACCCAGCAACTGCATCCATCAGCACTGGTCGGCTGTGGCAGCTTTCTTGGTATGGACATACTATAAGAACAGAGCTCCAATGAATTCTGGAGTGTGTACACCATGGGATGCTGCTACACGGCCAACAATCACGAGTGCCAAAAGCTTTGGTGGCATAACAAGACTGCTAGTGATGGATGTAAACAGAATGTACAATCAGACTACCGTAAGTGCCTTGCCAGAGATCAGGCTGGGTGGGGCTTGATTTGCAAGGAGACTATGGTCCCTTGGGATTGGCCATGATGATGACGATTAAAGTAAAAAAATGTGAAAAGAACATTAACGTTGCAAAGTCAAGCATTCCAAAAATTAGGCAATTCAGGTTGCCTATGCAACCTGTACAAGAACGGACTCACCACTTGTGCGCCTCCTCAGAGTTGTCGTATAGCAGTTATTTCCTCTCTAGTGGCCCCTGCTGGTTGCTTCAGACCTGCAATGGTCTCTCCTAATGCAACTCAGCCCCTTGGCTAGGTTACGTTCTAGCGCCTCACCTAGAAAAAACAACCAATAGTCCAAGGTCTTCAGCACCAACTCTGGGTCCCCAGGGTCTTTGCATCCTTCTCTCTGAGTTTTCAGTCCTCCTTACCCCCTTTGTAAGGGCTGGTAGGGGAACCTAAGCCGTCCCACTGCAGTCTGCTCTATCAGACTCCTTGCAGCTGCCTTCCTGTAGCTTTCCCCCTATAATCTCTCTAGCTTCACCTTTCTTTCAGGGCCAGGACTTGCAGGGCTGTGTAATCCCCAAGGAATCCCAGACCAAGAGAACAAACCTAAACCAACTTCTGACCTCCTCCACTGAACACCTCCCAGGGCCTGTTCCCTGGAAGTCCAGATCCTGCTCTTTTTCCAGGACTCACCGCCATAGCTTGCTCCACCCCCAGTCGCTGTTCTAATTTTGTCCTGGCCTCTTGCTAACCTTCTATTCAGGAGAGGACCCCAAAATCATCTCTCCCCCAGGTTTCCTCCTCGATCCTGCCAGTCTGTCCACTCTCTCACACTACACACAGTTCTCTCTGCATCCTCCTCCTGCTCCAAACTTTTTTCTTTATAGTAACTACCCAGCTTCTCTCCAGCTGGGTCTCATCTTTAATTGGGCCTGCTTCCCTGCAACCAGGTGTCTTAATGAAGCGCTCCAGCTCCAGTTAACTCTCATCATAAATCTTAATTCAGCTCCCTTGTAATTAAAGACTGCATCATATTGCATATGTACATGATGATATACTAGTTTTTCCATAGGATCCCATCCTCCTTCAGTGCATGGGACAGACCTGCTCTTGGGATGAATCAGGGTTGCGTACTGAAGGAGGTGGTTGTCTGCAGGACCTCTCAGTTGAGTGCAGCCCTGGAGAACTGGATTCGAGTCCTGCCTCTGCCACCAAGTTCCTGAGCGATTCTGAGCAAGTCACTTAAACCAAACTTTTTACAAGTGGCCACTAAACTGTGTTTTCCTCATGTTCTGGGTGTCTAACGTGACACCTGGGGCCAGACTTGCAGGCATGCTGAGCATGTACAGCTGCAACTGAGGTGGCTTGGAGCTGTGCTCTGAACAGATAAAGTACCATAAAATGCTAAGGACACTGAAAAATCATAGAGACTAACAAATTTATTTGGGCATAAGCTTTCGTGGGCTAAAACCCACTTCATCGGATGCATGCAGTGGAAAATACAGTAGGAAGATATAGATACACAGAGAACATGAAAAAATGGGTGTTGCCATACTAACTCTAACGAGACTAATCAATTAAGGTGGGCTATTATCAGCAGGAGAAAAACAACTTTTGCAGTGATAATCAGGATCGCCCATTTCAAACAGTTAACAAGAAGGTGTGAGTAATAGTAGGGGAAAATTAGCATGGGGAAATAGTTTTTACTTTGTGTAATGACCCATCCACTCCCAGTCTTTATTCAAGCCTAATTTAATGGTGTCCAGTTTGCAAATTTGTTAGTCTCTAAGGTGCCACAAGGACTCCTCGTTCTTTTTGCTGATACAGACTAACACGGCTACCCCTCTGAAACCTGAAAAATCATACGTTATTGGTTTGTGAACACCAGGGGGCGGTCAACACTTGGACTGCAGTCTGTCCTTGGAAATTAAAGTCACTTGCTGCTCCTTAAAGAAACTTCCCAGTGAATTATGGAGACACCGGTCACAGTTCCATAATTATGGTTGAGTTTCCATTTTACTCATAGAGCGTGAAATGAATTTTCTGAGCATTTACTAGTAAACCTGTTTAATTAGCTTAAGTGGAAATTTAATTTAAATCCGGGTCTTTTAAGAACTTTAGCATCTGTCAATCTTTTTTTTGTCCTGAAAGAACTTAACAACAGAATAAAACTTCCCAGACAGCTAACATGATGCAGAGGCAGCATTTGAAGGAATTATGTTGTAATTAAGTTAGATAAAAACGATTTGTTAGTAACTTAATTATTATGATTTTTATATCAAGAAAAAGTACATTAAGAGAACATTCAGGTTGCAAAGTCAAGCATTCCCAAATTAGGAAATTCCAGAATTAAATACAGCCTTAATTCAGCCTTCTTGTGCATGTGCATTATAATACAGTCTTTAATTACATGCTCACTCACTATTTTTTTCTAAAGGACCCCTGCCTCATTCAGTGAATGAATCCAATATTTCTTCTTATCCTCATTCAATGTGTGGCCCAGAGGCTTATTTACCACATGCCGTTCAAACCCTGCAGTGAATACAGAATTATTAGTTTCCTCATGCATGTGTTCTCGCCTTACTAGCAGAGTGCTTCACAGACTTACTGAATCTATCTATACAACACCCCTGTGAGATTAGGTGGTGGTATTATTCCCATTTTACAGCTAAGGAACTGAGGCACAGACAGAGTAAGGCCAAAATTGTCAGAGGTGTCCACTAATTCTCAGTGCCCCATGTGAGACACCTAGGGATTATTAAACACACACCACTGCATCTTTGCTGCCATGACTCATGGTCCACAACACCCAGATCTGTTCACATATGGAGGCACAATGAGAATTCATTAAAAAAAAATTGCTGCTTTATAGTCTAGTTTTATTTTGCCAGGTGAGTCAAGTATGGCAAGATCCAATACAAGAACGTATTAAGACCAAAGGAAAGGAAAAGATCCACTGCAGACAGGAACTCTGAAGCAATAACCAGAGTTCTGAAGTCTGCACTCAGAGCCAGGGGGAACAGAGAGAGAGAGAGAGAAAGAACACGCATCATGGACACAACTTCTAGTTGAGGCTGTGTTGAGATTTCCCTTAAAGCAGAAGTTTTTGTAATTGCAGGCAATAAAATGAAAGTGTTTTCATCTCCAAGTCTGCATAGCAGTAGCTGTGGATAGCAGCAGACTCTCTAGGCTGTTCACTTTTAGAAAAATTATCTAATTTTAAAAAATAAATATTTGAAAATTGCCCATTCTTGATACTCTACCCAGAGTGTCTCCCTTCTTTTTGCTCTTCTGTAACTTAACAAAGAAATTCGTAACTTCAGTATTTTGAAGGCATAACCCTTATTGCGTCAATCAGTGCATCATACAAGCTATTTGAGCGTCAACATTTTGTATTTTGTCTTTTCCTTTTGCAACAAGCCAACCTGACTGGGTATGGATTATGCAGCTGCTTCCATTCTCTACTGCTGCCAAGGTGCCCCCTCCCCAACCAAACCCGAGCCAGGGAAGGAGGGTGGCCAAGCAAGGGAAGCAGCTGGGGAGATGGGACAGAGGGGTGTGCGGTGGTCACTGGGGGGAACCATATGGGGCCAGCATGCAGGCTGGTCGACTATCAGTGACTTACTAGCTGGGGAAACTCTGGCAGGAGAGCAGCTCTTCCAACAGCTTCAGATCCATGGTCTCCCTCTTGTCTGCAGTCAGCCTCAGATACCATCGCTCCTTGCTCTCCCTTCCCAGATGACAGGGGGCCAGGGAGGGGATGTGCCACAGGGTAGTTAGCAGCATATGGAATGGGGACGAGGGTGCACTGGGAGCAGGATTACTGGTGTAGCAGCACAGAGGTGGGTTGTGCTGCAGCAGGGGGACAGGAGGAGTCCTAAAGCAACTAGCGCTACTGCAGCACTAATCCTGAGTGACTGCCCCAAGCATGGCCTCGCCCCAGTACACCAGAGCGGGGGGGAAGGAGAGACTAGAGAGAGCACTGGACTGGGACTTGGGAGACCTGGGCTCTAGGCACAGCTCTGCCACTGACCTGCTAGGTGACCTCAGGTAAATCACATCAACGCTTTGTTCCTCAGTTTCCCCAGTGAAATGGGAATGATGATGATGACGCTGACCTCCTTTGTAAAGCGCTTTAAAAGCTAGTGATGAAAGCGCTTGAGAACAACTAGGTGTTTTTATTATAGAGCTGTGTCCTGGAGGTAGAAATTGAGTGTGTGGCTCTAGCAAACCCCATCCTGGCATACACACACTTCCTCCCATGCCACCCCTCTAACATGGGAGTAGCTCCCCATAAAACAGGTGCAAGGTCTTTCCTCCTGCAGGCTCTTCCTCTGCAGTGAGGTCTACAAAAAAGACTTGACAGTGGTTAGGCAGCTGCTGTGCTGTGGCTGCTACTTTCCATGCTGACCACTGTTTCCTGGTACTCCCGTCTCTCTGGTGCAGCCCTTTGTTGTCTCGTGTCTTAGGTGGCAAGCTCCTGAGGGCAGGGATAGTCTTGTTATGAGCCCATGGCCCCTCCGGTGGTACGTTGACTCATGCAAGCCATCTCCAAGTGACTAACCACCACATGCATGGAGTGAGGTGACTTGGGTGGCCCTCTGCTCAGTGCAGCTAGCCTCCAAGGGGCCAGCCCACACTGATATCTGCGTTCCATTGCTCCACTTCAGTGGCAGGCAGCCAGAGCCCCCTCGACCAATGACGCAAGAGGTGGCAAATGGCAGCTTGGCCAGTAGGGAGCCTCAAGGGTCCCGCAGTTGGCCATGGGCTGTACTGGACTAGAAGACCTCTTGATGTCCCTTCCAGTCCTACAATTCTATGGTCTTTGGACCACAGGGAGTATCAGGCACTGCTCACTTTGGACTGGGGACTTCAGTCATCTGCTGGCAGCAACTCAACACGTCTGCCCCGTTCCTAATGAATGTCCTGAGTTTCTGGGTCCCAGTGATGGCCCTGGTAGATGCTGCCACAGCATCAGGGCAGCATCATGTGGGGATGAAGGGGGGTGACCTCGTGCAGGCTCTTCAGTGCAAAGAGAGCCAACCAGCCTAAGCTTGGGAGATGGGTACAAATATTGAGGGGAGATGTGAGAGGGATGGGAGGTGCAGCCTGTCTGTGACTCTGGGTTCACAAAAAGCAGCCTTTAAATTGAAACTCCTGAGCTTTTCCAACCCTCTCCTCTCCTTCCTACCTGGGCTGCTGTCCAAGGTCTGGGACGACTGCCAATTACCAGTTGCCGTGGAATAAGCTGGGGATCAGGTTGGTGAACAGCCAACCCCTGACATCAGAAGCAGGTGCCTAACTTGCCAGGTGCACCTCAACTATGTTGCCCACTATGTCTGAGAGTGATCCACAAACCCAACGAGGGAGCTGGAACTAGGCCCCGCCCTGCCTGTCCTGCTCCCATGGGGATTGACCAACAGGTATGCACAGCCCTGGTCTCCATGAGGTCACAGGGAAGCACCAGTTTTGAACAAAGTATAAAATCTGCAGCCTTGTTCCCTTTTGTTGAGAACCATCTCTCAGCTTTAAAGACCCAAAGAAGCAAGCTGGGGACAAAGCGCGAAATTGCTCAGACTTCAAGGGTTCGCTCCCTCTGCCTGATTACACAACTGGGTTTTTACTGCCCCAGAAAACTAAGTCTAAAAATGCAAGAAGATACAAAGTTTAAAAACAAGACTTGTCTTTTGGAAAAAAAAAAATCATACAAGCTGAGTAGATCCACAAGAAGCCACCTAGCTATCCTTAGGCAAAGTAAACCTATGCAATACACTGCATACTGAGCCTTCTAGCCAGCAAGAGACAGTGCTCAAGGACAAACTGCAGTGTCTGACAATGTCCTGCTTCTGCAAAAGGCTCAGTGGCTTTAGGTAAGTTTCCACCATGGTAGCCAGAGACACATTGAAACGCCTCCACTCTGCAGGACGCAAAGGTTAGTTTCTCTTAGCTCAGAGTCCCGCTCATGTGGCTCAGAGCGAGGCTGGGGTGGGCACTGTGGGCAAAGTCAGTTCCATGGATGGAGTTTCAGCCACCTGGGCTGGACTGGGTTTGCGAAGCTCCAGTTTCTCGCTGAGCTGGTTATAAAGATCCTTCACAGCTTCGCCGCTCTGTGGAACGAGCATTGGGAAAACAAACAAACAAAAGAAGAGTCACACTTCATTCTAGCTGTTACTAGCTGGAACACGAAGTACTAGGACTACTGGGAGTGTTTCAACACAGAGGAAAGTGGGAAGAGGAAGTCATGATATAATTAAGTCAATACTCCATACACTCTGAAAGCTGCTATCTAAACAGAACACAGGCTCCAGTAAGCAGCTTCAGGGAATGCAGTTGCCTTCATCTGCAATTACTTTTCCTTTTGTGACCCTTCTTACCTGCTTGGTAGGTTCCAAAGCCTTCTGGAGTGATTCTAATTTGGCTGGTGCCACTTTGTGATGCAGGTGAAGTAGCAATCTTAGCATGTGTCTATGGACATTCTCTTTTCTGTAAAGAGCAATTGTAAAGTGGTGAAACCAATGTACAGAACACAATGTACAGAACACAACCACACTTTAGAGAGAAAGTTACACAACAACGTCAGAGCGTTCAAACACTGGGAGTTCTGTTTTCAATCATCAAAAATATTTAAGTTGTAAAGGAACTGCTTGCATGCTACAGGATGTTATGCTTCTATAGGCTTGCCAGGAATTAATACAAGGGTTTAGAACTACTAACAGGTTCTTTATGTGCATTTATAAATTAGAGAGCTGAAGTTAAATATAATGTTTAAAGCAGAAATTCGATCTGCTACTGCACGGTAAGGAGGATGTTGCCCCACTGCAACTTCTGTCTCTGAATAACGATTTAGGGTTTGTGTAATCGTTTATAAACCAACACTTGCTATTTCCAGTGATTTTATTTCTACAGAATTGGCTACAAAATCTAAACATATACAAAAAACACCACAACAGCTATCATAGCCTTTCCAGAGTGAGCTAAGAGTCTGCAGACAGGCTAAACAATAGCTCAGAGGTGTGAACTGTCCCATTCATCTTGTAAATATTGTGCTTTCTGAAGGATGTCAGTTACCTTGAGCAGGCAGTGAGGAAGAAGCCATCGAAGAGACTAGTACAGAAGTCCTCCAGCGCAAATTCATCAGCCAGCAACGTGAGGTTACCGGTGAGCAGGTGCAGGAAAATATCACTGAAGGCCAGGTCACTGAATGTCTCGACTGCATAACACGAAGGACAATGACTAACAGGCTGGCAAGCATTTCCCTAAAAGCGTTACCATATTAGCAGAAGACAAGCCTGCTGAAAAACTTGATGTGCACTTTGCTGACTGGCCACTGCAGGTGGCTGACTACCCTCCCCAGGTATAAAGGGAGGTGGGAAAGAACCCAGGATGTGGGCTGAGCAGCTATTGAGGAAAAATTCTGGGAGCAGCTAAGCCTGGGCTAGATTCAGTGTTGTTTCATTACAAGTTCCCTTTTTGGATAAAGTGGAAAGTTCTGATCCACTGCAACTTTTGGGGACTGTTTAGAGCAGGAAGCTACCTGCTCAGAGACACAATATATCTTCCTGTAATATTCCGACCAGTCTACAGCTAATCACATTGCTAGTACAGTGTCTTTCATCCGAGCAATTACAAACAAACACTCAAGAATCTTCACAAAACTCCTGCTCGGTAGGAAAACATCACCACTGAACAGGTAAGTAAACTCATGGGACTTGCACAGGCTCACACAGTGAATCACTAGCAGACCTGAAACTAGCAAAATCCAAGAGTTGTCACCACTAACCACACTCACCCCCATAGCCCTTATTTTCCTCCTTCTAGGCCTTCTATATGTGACAAGTGGGTACAAAACATAAGAGGAAAACAAGACTCACCTAGTGCTGGCAGGAGCCTGAGAAAAGCATTCTTGTTCCTCTGTTTAGTTATGTGAAGTATGTAATATAGCCCAACCTCACAGGCTATTCTATGCTCCTGGAGGAATCTGTTATGGCACAAACAAAGTTTCTTAACCAACAGAACAAGAACCCATTTACGACAGAAGACCTTAAGAAGACAGGGTCCACAACCTGGAAGCCACAGAGTAGGAAGCAGGGAAATGTCTCAATAGCTAACCTGAAGTCTCCTGTGAAGTGGTGGCTAAGAGAAAGTGTTCAGATCTAGGAGAGCTGTCTGCTGCCATGGCCCAAAGAAATAATTATTCAACAACATTGTTACTTTCCAATAATCAGCACTAACTGAACAGTTAATAATAAGAAGGAAGCTTCAGGATCAAGCTACTGATTCTGCTTCATTTTAAAGTTTCCCAGCTCAGACACCAATTCTGCTATGAAATAGTTGTGAGTGTGATTCTAACTGGATGTGGTATTCTGAGTACTGACATTCAAACAAGAAGAGTACTGGGAATAAGTGTAAGGTTTGAACACAACTGAGCATACGGAGATCCTTTCTGTCTGCTTTGCAAAGACGTGAGAAGTTTCTTTTTTAACCTCCAAACCTTTAGGATTTCAAAGAGAAACTGAAGTCCTCTCATCACATGTATAGTCATCTTATTTCTAGTAGCGCATTTGAAGGTGCTCATTCTCTCGCTAAAAAGTATTGGTGGTCAGTCCAAATGCGCCTAAATTCAGTAATACCATGAAAGCAACCACTGTATTCTGCTTGTGAAGGACACACAAATGTCTTCTTTATTTGAAAACAGCAATGCAAAAAACCTTACTAATTTGTTTTGCAAAGACTGAACTGAAATGTCAGAGCAAGAAACATTAATGTGATGGTCCACCTCCTTGGGCCAGGCCTATATAAAAATCAACAGTAAGAAATATTGCTCCACACAGGTTGCTTCAATGTTTTCAAATAGAGGAGACACTGAGAACTTTATGAGAGGATGACACAGGCTCTGCTTCCTTGAAAATGAGGGCAAAGTCATTTGATGTGCCTAGTTTAAAAACAGTGTTGATGATCAGTCACTCACACCTCCCTAATTGTGTTACTGCTGAGCAGCAGCCATGCGTGTTAGTCAAAGAACTATTCTCTTTCTAATCACTATGAAGGCCTGAACCGAGCTTCATTCTTCCCTGGGTAACAAAAGCTTTAAGTACTATAGCAAACCTCTTGTGCTTTCACTCCAAGGTCTCTTTAACCCACTTATGCACAATCTGGTTTAAACAGCAGTAGCTCATGGTTAATTAATTTTGGCAATACGTTACACCGCGAAATTTTCTTTTTAATGTCAGCTCTGTCTACAACTGACTTTCCTCAGTAGTGTCCATGTAGAAATAACTCAGGCCAAAGGCACCAAGACAATATTATTCTCTTCTCATAGGCCTGATTCAGCATATGCCTAACTTTAAGTACATGAATAGTCACACGACTATAGAGTACCTTGCTGAATCAGGGCCTTCGTGTTTTGTTCTGTTTCTTGTGCAGTTGCCTTTCAATCTGAGCCCTTGATAAAAATGCCACAGTATTTGAGCTCTCTGACTGGAAACTTTCAAACTGGACAGCACCCTCACTGGCTCCACAGCAACACAATCTCTATTGACCTATTCAAGATCTGTAGTTTTACTGGTGTCTTTTTAATCAACTGTTCCACTGAATGGAACTGAAGCCTTGAATTTGTTAGGGTTAATTCTTCTCTCTTAATTGTGCCAGGTTGCACATAATGGGCTTCCTCGGTGGTATAGCTTAGCTACCTAAGACTACGCCTATACTACAAATTATTTCAGTATAATTTACATCATTCAGGGGTGTGAATAATCCACATCTCTGAGTGACGCAAGTTACACCAACCGAAGCACCGGTGTGGACAGTGGTATGTCGGCAGCAGAACTTCTCCAATTGACATAGCTGAGAAAGAAGCTATTGAGCTGATGGGAGAGTTCTCTCCCGTTGTCTTAGAGAGTCTTCACAAGAAGCAATGCAGCTGCGTCGCTGTAAATGATGTAGTGTAGACACAGCCTAATGCTTTGTTGGAAAAAGGATCTAATGTGCGTAGGTTGATGACATACTTGGTGAAAGCTTCGGGAATGGTGCTGGGGTAGGGAATTGGCCCTTTCTCTTCTGATGGCAGTTTCTGATCTACGTTGAATGTGTAGTCATCCACCACAAAGGACATCAGCATTGGCAAGAACTTGGTGATCAACTCATGTTCCTTAGAGGGGGGAAAAAAAGCCATTGCAATATAAAAAAGCCATTCAGCATTTATGTAACTTTCCATCCAAGAATCTCAAAGTGTTTAGGTGACATGTAATATTCCCATCCTACAGCTAGAAAAACTAAAGTAAACCATTTACCTATGACCACACAGCAAACCAATGGTAGACAGGAACATAAAACACTGGTATCCAGACACCAAGTCCCTGCTCTAACCACTGACCTCTCTTTTCATGTCCTCCAGTAGAATATAAGGAGATAATCAGAAAACTATCCTTCACTTTGTACACAAGAACACTATTGAATGAATTTTCTGCTGTAACAGAATTACCCTGTGATATACATATCTGGTCTAGAGCACCTTATCCTATATTATTGCAAGTGCTGGACACAGAGGCTCTGGGTAAGGACAGGGTAGTATGCTAATGAGTACAAGTCATCTTGTTAATTCCCTGAACCAATATTAACCATTGCACACTTAGTCATGCTCCCAGGAGGAGTGCCAGGGGAAAGTCACACTCATTTCCTCCATTCCCACAGCAGTTGAAAATTACTTATTTAGTATCAAATTAAAACAACGGGAAGCAGCAGCGTATGGAACCACAAAGTTCATTAAAAATGAAGCAGGTTGTGGAGCTTTCTCCATATAGCACCAACAGGTGAAGACGGAACCTTTCAATTAAGTTATGAGGTAAGCCAAGGCTTTGTCGAGGGCAATGTAAGTACCTAATCACCTTAGTATTTGACTATTCATGCACACACACCTGGGGGTGCTGGGACAATTGTAGAGTAGGGGGTGCGGAGAGCCATTGAACCAAACTGTAAACCCTGTATATGATGGAAACCACTTCAAGGCAGGGGGTGCAGCAGCACCTCTAGTTCCAGCACCTATGCAAACACCTATGGAAAACGTACATCACTGAGGTAAACGTGCAGTCAGCTAGCAGTTTATATGGTCAATACCTCAATCACCCTCCCTGGGGAACAGCTGCACCACTTTGCAGCACAGAACAGAAACAGCAATGGAATTTTTGGAGGTTCCTCCCACTGCCCAGTATTGTGGTTAACCTCTCTTCTGTAGAGAGCTGAATAGAACTTCTCCCAGAGCTACCAAACCTGTTCAGAGTGCAGGCCAGAGGGAAAGTGGGGAGAGGGTCACCTGAGCGATCCAAAATACGCTTTCCAGGGGTTGAATGTGATACCTCCACAGCATTCCTATCACAACACTGGGGAGGCAGACGTGCTAGCCACTGAATGACAATGCAATGAGCTGCTATTAGAGTTCAGGGCCAGCCCCAGCCCCAGCAATACTATTTTCACATTCATTCTGATCTACGGTCTCGCCATTTGGGCGGAGATCCCAGGAGTTATGAGCTATTGGTGCTGAATTGTTAGAGGCAAAACTCAGATATAAAAAAGTTAAAGCCCAGATGTTCAAGACTACCAAAAAAAAAGGGGGGGGGGGGGGGGGGGGGGGGGGGGGAGGAGTTGACAAGAGGACCCACTTGTGTACACTTTCACCCTATTGGTGCATGCAAATGCCAGGTGTCATCTGTACAAACAGGACGTTTACAAATTTTGCAAGTGCTTATTAGAGGCATTTGGAAAAGGTGACCCTGAGGATTTTTTAAGAGAGAGGAAGATGAAGAAATCAATGAGGAAATACTCTTCAAGAAGCTTACCATTTTAGGCTCCCTGAAGACTTGACTGTCAATCATGTCCCAGGCCCCCTGTCCCAGAGACAGCATCCTTAACAGCAGCAAGAGGTCTGGGCTTTCCTGGAAATTCAAATTTAATAAAAGTGATGTTCTTCCTCAATTCTCGACCCGTTGGAGATTTATTTGGAAGTAATTTATAGTCAGTGGTTTTCTTGGATTCAGAAGCATTAGCCAGAGACATTAGATCGCAAAAGACAGCTAGGGGCTGTCAATTTCTATGATTTAAATAATGAATTATAGCTCAAGAGCCACAAACAGCTGCAAATGCTACAGAACACACCTCAGGGTAATCATTTGATAGTGTGCTTGGAGATATTCAGGCCATCTGATCAGACGACTGGCTAGAGACCTTTCAAAAACAACGTGACATCATAAAGTACAATATGTGTCAGAATGAAACTAGCCATGTTTGTCAGTAAATATCCAATATTGGGTGTGTAAAAATGACATTGGCCTTTTTGCAAGCTTGAAAGGATAAAAAGAAATTATTTAATTTGACAATGAAAAAGCAGCCCAAGGGATGAAATATAGGAAGTGTTTCTATTTAGATCCTTGTATGGTTCCCATCATAGGATCTGAGTCCTGATCCACTGGGGGCAGAGATTCACATTCTTGTTGCACAGCCCGTGAGTACCCAGTTAATACCAGGGAAACTGAGGATCCAACCAGCAGACCGCATTCTAAGTCCTTTCTAGGGCTGAACGGCGGTCATTTGCCAGCTGCCATTCCCGATGTAATTCTGCCTCCCCCGCCGAGGGATTGTCGGCAGCCGAACGCAGCATTACAGAGAGCAAGTGCCTCACAACATTATTAAGTGTACCATCTTCTTCTCCGTGTGGCTGATGTAAATGCAGAGCAACAACTATAATTTTACATTCAGATGGTTCAATAAAGCGTACAATAGCGAGAACTCTCTCTCCGGTTACCCCATTCAGCAGGAATTGACTTTACTAGATCCCCCCTACCACCAGCCCAAAGCAAAGCAAGACACCAAGTTTAGCACAGGGAGTGAAGAATGCTGTAACTGAAGCAGGAATTTAAGTAGGCAGAAAGCAGTTGCCTGCAAGTATGCATAATTAGAAGAGCATGCATCTAGTAGAGAGTGAGAAATGTTAAGGGGGCACTGTTAACTTGAAAAATCACATTTGTCTGAAAATTGTGTACCTACCATAATTACATGACACCTAAAATTACTACAAATGAAAGAAATGAGGACAAAATATATGTTTTTCCTCTTTTTCAGTTTACTTGTGCATTTGATAGCACAGTTTCATTCCTTCTTCTGTAATGTCAGTCAGTTTCTCCCTTGCTGAAAAATGCAGTCTCGTTATAACCTGAACAGGGCTCATTTGTAATCTGTGCAGGTTTCTCAGACTCACCCTGGGTAAGGTGTCTTGCCCAACCAGCTCTTGCAGATGCCGTATGGTACTCAGAGCTAAGGTGTTAATGGCAAAGGGATCACACAAGATCATTGATAAATCTCTGAAGGGAAACAGAACCACAAATGCATTTTATATATACTAACAAACCCCATGGCCCAACCACACACCCAGCCACAGAATACCAAAACCTATGAGGGAAGGAAGACAGGCAGCAAAAACTATAATGATAAAACCTAATGTATTATATCAACTGAAATATGTTTCTGCCTTAGATCACTAATTAGATGCTTATAAGTGGCAAGTCCTGCCTGATAAAAAACAACAACCCCTTTAACTTGTATTTTACAGGCCACTGACTAGTTAGAGCCCTGGGATAGGATACTGAGAATAAACCTGTTATCTTGCCGAATGCACTAAGAAGGGCTATGTTTGGCAATGATTGGTTTTGTTACTAGACACTGGTGGAGAATTAACAACTGAAGTAATTCTCAGCCCCTCTGGATAATGGGAACGTCGCTATCAATCCCTCAGTTTCATGAGCCTGAACTGCTCACCCCAATACTTGTTCTTGTCCTTTCTTCACTCCGTCCAGGAACCCTTGCAGCTCTCGAGCTCTCTTGTTATCCACAAACTTCTCCCGAATGCAGGCATCTAAGCACCAGGTGAACTGCAAAGAAAGGAAACGTTGTTAACACACTCATGGCAACTCCTCTAAACTAGCATTACAATATAAGAATCACCTCAAGGCTTCACTGTAATACTGTTGGCTCGATATTTAATTAAATACACCCGCGTAAGCCTTTCCGACCCTCCCCAACAGTTGTACAGGAAGCTGCAACATTAGATCCACCACACGTCAGTTTTAAGACTCTTGCCCACTTTTCAAAGGCTTCAGATCTAGTGACAAAACAGATCCTTAAGCGGTGAGGCTTTTGCATTAAGCTCCTACAGGTATTCTAATTATATTCAAATGCCTCCATCAGTGCAACAGAACATGTGGCAGCACGTGAAGGGGGAAGACAAAGTTTCCAATCCATACAAACAGCAACAACCTCTGACCAGCAGTATCTGCTGCTTGCACAGTCCTGTGTGTGTTGGAAAGTTCTAGAGGCAGTCTGACATCAGGAGCAGAGGAAGCCCAACAGGCATCCAAACACACAAGATCACTCTATGGAGCTGTTGTACAGCAGGTTCAACTGGCATCACCTTTTCTTCTCCCACAACAAGCATTCCCTGAAAATTAACACATACTATATACCATGTAGTATGTGAATATATCTCATGGCCCACCCCCATCAATGTGGAATCACATTCACAATGGAGTACATGGTAACTGAGGGGGCAGTATCACTTAGTGGTAAGAACATGGGATTGGAAGTCAGATGATCTGGACTTTATTCCTGGCTCTATCACTGACTTACATTCGAAATTTGGACAAGCCATAACCCCTATGTGTTAGTCTCCCGGTCTATATTAAAACCACATATTCCTCACAAGGATGTTGTGGGTCTTGATCAATTCATGTTTCTGAAGTGCTTGGAGCCCACCGTACAGAAGGTGCTAAATATATTTCTCATCACTGGTATCTTTTCTTCAGAAGCACATATTGCACGAGAAATAAACTGTGTAAATAATGTAACCAGGACATAAGTGTAGAGAACAGAATGCGACTCTGCATTTATAGTGGATGAATGACTTAATTCACATTACAAATGCCAAGGCAGTGCTAAATAAGACAGCAAAACTTCTCATATTTTAATAATTGTTAATTTTATGCTCTTTATACTTCAAGATCCATAGCACTTCACAGACTAAACTAATGAAATGCAATCACTTCTGGGCAAAGAGCATCAGTTTGTGCACAGTCCTATGCACAAGAGGGAGGGGAAGGAAACTGGCCAAGAACACTGGGGCAAACCAATGGCATGAACTTTGTTTCTGGCAGCATCCATGTAGGTCAGATGGTACACTGTTTTTTAAGACGTCATACCAAGCACCACACACAGCATGACGAACAATTTATCTACCATAGAAAGACAAAGGGCTTTGTTAACACTGCTGGGATTTGAACCTGTCATTCCAAGGACTATAAGAATTTCAGACTTGAGGTTTGAACCATTTTCTATGCCTGGAGATAATATCCTCTCTGGGTTATTGACCTTCAAGGCAGCAGGCACAAATGCTCCGACTGAAAACTCTGAAGTACTACTTGTGCCTGGTCCATCTATTCATTACCTTGTGACAGGGGTCAACAGTACAGATCTCGCTGATGTCCAGGTCATGCAGTGACATCAGGAGCTCTGCCCGTAGCGTGCAGTAATGGACATTCCTTGTCCGAAGGAACAATGTTCTTAGGAACTGTAGCACCATGTCATATAGCTTCACATTCTTCCCAATCATCTGGGTCAGCTTCTGAACCACCTAAAGCCCAAATGGAAAAACACACAGTACCAAAAGATAGTCCTACACGACAGCTTTCAAACTATTTCATTATTTGCCCCATCAGTTGTGGTATGCCTGAACTAAAACATACAGCTTTAAAGGACATTTCACACCAGACTTTTTCAGCATTTCAAATCCATTTGTGCTTTAATTGATTTTTGTCTAGACTTTTGTAATTGCAAGACCTTCTGTTCCCTTTGCTAAACAATCTGACCTGTTATACCAACTATACCAGTAGGAATTGCTTTTGTTGTAAATGTGATCTTAGGGTTTTATACTGCCATCTATCACCATAGTTCCAGAGTGCCCACCACGTAAAATCAAAAGTAATAGCAAAGTCCCTAGAGACTTCATGGAGTCTCTGGCATTTCTCCCTTTTTGGGGTAAAAACACTACTTGGGGCATGGATTTGTTTTTTTTTTTTTTAAACATTTTAATAAAATGTGTATAGTGGGAGTGTCTAAAAGCGCCACTGCAACAGAGACTCTACAAGTACATAGGAAGGCACAATCCCTGCCCTAAAGAACTTACAATCGAGTTTAAGACACGTTAATGAGGGTAGTATACAACAGGAGGGAAGAGTGGCTGGGGTGAGGGTAACATTAATAAGATCACACTATCCCATAGGCTAGCTATATGCACAGCTTTTGATGCTTCTTCCCAATTTTTTATTGAACTATTACTATTTCCTGCAAAAACAAAATAAAAATTGTAAAAACCCCAAACCCTGATTTCATAGAATCATAGAATATCAGGGTTGGAAGGGATCTCGGAAGGGATCTCAGGAAGTATCTAGTCCAACCCCCTGCTCAAAGCAGGACCAATCCCCAGACAGATTTTTGCCCTGATCCCTAAATGGTCCCCTCAAGGATTGAACTCACAACCCTGGGTTTAGCAGGCCAATGCTCAAACCACTGAGCTATCCCTCCCCGCTAAAGGTGCTTAGATACTATAATGATGGGTTAAATCCCAGACTGACGGACAGAACCGGGGAAAAATATTATTGGCTAAACATGTTGTTTAGCTATTTAAATGTTATTTTTTAAAATCCGCTTAAACAAAAGATTAACCTATTACTCTGTGTCACTAGGTGCTATTCTAATAAAGATAATGTTCAGTATTGTTATATTTGTAACTATTAAATATAAGATTAACCTGTTGATTTAATTAAGACTTAATGAAGATGAACTAACATTAAATAACTAGCCAAAATATTTACATAGCTTTTTCCAGGTGGTAGCAAAGTTGTAAGGCCAGACGAACACTCAATTATCTGATGATGCTGGCAGGATAGGAACCAAATATGCTCCCTTTTCAAGACAGAGATCGGAGAATTCCATTCCAAACGTCACTGTAAAAGTTCTCCCTGCTCTTACCTCTCCCTGACGTCTCGTTTTTGGAGAGGGACTGAAGAAGTTGTGCAAGACAGAGAGATCATTACTAAAGAGAGTGTTTTCTTTCTCCAGGATGTACTGTTTCAGCAATGGGGACACCTCATCGCCAAACAGAGCTTGGTTATCCTGCCAGATCTGGCGCTTCACCTCCACGGCACATGCTTTGTATAAATCCTTATCCGCCATCACTAACTTCAGTTTCTTTTCAGGGACCTGCGAACAACAGTGCAGTGTCAGTAAAGAGTTTAGGGGTTCACCTACCTGACTGTTAAAATGGTAAGTAGTTGACTATAAGGCAGATCTAAATCACAACCTTGAACTGGCCAGTAACTTCTACAACCAGTGCAATTAAAACCCAAGGAAACAGCAGACACCCTTCTTTCATGACCCTACCCCTCCAACACCACCCTGGTTTTAAAGTATTTAGCTTCCTAGAGAAAGCATTACATTTTCCTTCAGTTAATTTTGAAATAGATAGATAGATATACCTATCTCATAGAACTGGAAGGGACCCCGAAAGGTCATCGAGTCGAGTCCAGCCCCCTGCCTTCAATAGCAGGACCAAGTACTGATTTTGCCCCAGATCCCTAAGTGGACCCCTCAAGGATTGAACTCACAGCAGGCCAATTCTCAAACCACTGAGCTATCCCTCTTCCTAAACAAACATCTTCCCTTATTAAAAAAGGAGCACAGCATTCTATGGTGATATTCAAAACTCTAGTCTACAGCATACAATAGCACTAGTACAAGTTTTGAAGCTATTACATTAAAGGTACTGTAGTGCCTTAAATGAAGAGTTGTTTCCTCTTAAGTACCCTTTTCCAGAAATATTGCCCCCTTTTAAAATCTAGCCGCATCCTTCAAATACTTGCCATTTAAATCAGTTCTGGAAAAGTCCCCTACCACTGAGCTCAAACTATTTTTGGGAAGGATAGGGGGGACACGCACATTTTAAAAATAGAAGAACAAACTTCTCTAAGTAGAGTGTGCTTTATGAAATATTAAATGCTTTTTGAACTACATTAAATTAACTGATATGAGAATCAAACAAAGCATAAGACAAATTTTTCTGCCAGTGAATGACAAACTGACTGAAGAGTTTGCAAACGTGGCATACAGCCCGGCTAACAGCAGAGAATGAAAGAGGCTGTAACCAGGAGATGCAACAGATTTTACCTTGGGCAGGTGTTTCATGACACACATCACCACAGGCTGTATAGACGGCATCTTGACCAAGGAAAAGCTTTTCTCCAGCAGATCCTCCAGCTTTTTGTATCTGGAAACATGCAAGCAAGAAAAGTTGCCAGGTAAAGTTTTCAAAACTCCTGAGTGACTTAGGGTCCTAAGTGCTTAAGTCATTTTTGAAAAAGTGACTAAGTCATTTAAGCTTTTTGAAAACTTTACCTGCCATGATTAATTTTGCAATTAATTTCTAATGATGTTTAATAATCAGCAGCAAGATCAGTAACACACCTTTCCTCAACCTTTCCTTCCGAGGCAATGGCTGAAACTCTCTCTAGCAATTTCTCTCTCAGCTCATCAAATACAGACTGATGAAATTCCAGCCTAGGAGTACCATGGAGGTCCAAGAATGGCAGAGCAGACTGGAGAGAGGGCAGGAGGACTCCATTTTCTGTCTAGCAAAACAAACACCATACAGAGTTATACATTTGGATTAAACACAAATTCCTTGCTGGCAATAAATAACAAGACAGAGTACTAAAACAACTCATGTTAAGAAAAACTAAGCACTCAGATAAATTTAAATGGTCATTATTGAGTGAGAAACAATATAACATTTTTTAAAAAGTCCTTAGTTATGCTACTGGCAGTAGCGTAATACTACTAATGTTAAAAGAACTTAAAAATCTAGTTCACTTTTCATCACTGATGCCATTTGTTTACTTTTTACTCAACCGAGGCAATGAAGAAAGACTAGCAAGTTTCCTTTTCTAGTTCTCATGCAATAGTGCAACACTGGAGTGTGGACACACTAGCACAATAGAGTCCTGGTCCATGCCTCTGACTCCTAGGCATGGGTAGGAAACAGTGCAGAGGAATGTTTATTTGTTTAAAAAAATATTGTTCCATTAATATTTATCCATTTGTATACAAAAACATTCACAAGTTGTTGTTTTTTAAATTATCCTTAAATCTGGGGACTGAAGTACCTTACCATGTTTCTCTAATCATTCAAAAATCTACCAGGACTTTTAAAATGGTTGCATTTGGCTAGCTTATGCTAAACTCCATTAGCCCAACTTTATAATCTAAATATATAAACTGCCACTGCTGAAATATACCAAAGCTTTGCTAAACGATCAATGCCCCAATCCTAAAAACACTGAAGCATCGTGTAACGACACATGCAATAGTTCCATGAAGTCTTAGAGATGCCATGTAACATACACAGTCAGTTTTCATTTGTATTACAGAAAATTACATTGCCGAGGTGAAAAGATACTACAGAGCACCAGCGTGTTAAGAGCCAAGAGTAACCAAAGCTTCCTTTTCACATTTCATCCTGTATTAAGCTGCAAAAAACAAAACCTGAAAGCTACTCTCACAACTGTCAAATCCTGTTCAATTGGGAGAGAGACTCCCTTCATTTTAAAAGCCGCTTTTAAAGATCCCCTTGTGATGAGGGCCTCCAAAGTTTGTCTCGATTAGAACATCAAAAATCATAATTCTGGATCTATTTTAAAACCCCTCATTGACGTTGTCCCCCATCTTGGAAGCAGCACGGCTAGATCTGGCCAGAGAGCAAAAGCGGCTGCACTATAATGGGAGGATGATGGAAGGTGAAACAGTTAAGCCCGTGTCAAGCAGCAGGGAATAGCACTCAAGCAGAGTCCGGATCAGAAACAACTAGAGGAGGCTTCAGAGAATCAGACCTGTGGATGTCACGGCATCTGGAACCCTTTTTACTGAGGCGTTATCAGCTCTGACCTAACCCCCCCCCCCCCCCCACAGTCCTGGACCCGGGCCCTGACTCCCTGCTGACCCGCATCAGACTGACCCGCGGGGGGGCGGGACCGGACGGAGCCCGGGCTCAGCGAGCCGCGCAGATGTACCGTACAGACCCCGCCGGGGTGGGAGCCTGCCTGAGACCCCGCTGGGCCAACTGAGAGCCCCGCCCCGGCGAGCCCCGTCCCGCCCGGCGTCTGCCCCCCGGGCCGCGCGCCCCACCTGGAACTGCTCGATGGCCTTGAGCGGCTCGGTGCAGTTGGTCAGCGTCTCCTTCAGGTCCTCCCCGTTAGCCACCCCCAGCTCCTGCAGCCCCGCGAACATGGCGGCGGCCTCCGCGGGCCCAGCCGGCTCCGCCCCCCGCTAGTTCCCGTAGGGTCGGCCCGGTCCGCCCGCGCTGTCGCCCCCCCCAGCCCTGTCGGGTCCCGCGCTGTCCTCGTCCCCCCCGAAACTGCTCCTCGGCGCGCAGGTTCCGGGCTGCGGCGGGAGGGCCGGGAGCTCGCTCCGCCTTCCCGAAGGGCCTGCGTGGGGCTCTCACGGCCCATTCCCCAGAGACTCCCCGTGTGCCGCCTGCGCCCCGGCTACGGAGACCCTATAGGTACACCGCCTCCTCCCCTATAGCCCCCGTGTGC